GACGCAGGACTACGAATGACACAAGGATGACAGTTCCCCTGTTTTCTGTCATCCTACTACATTTTTTTTACATCCTCCAGATAAGTACTCAATAAATGTCGTTTTAAGGCGTAATTTCATGTTGAGTTCCATAATAATTTCAGAACACTCCTAAGGCAATCACCACGTCAGGTGTACATCAAATGTTCCTGGATTCTTGCGTAGTTCGGTTATATACAATATGTTGTATATCAGTGCTTTGGCCGTTAGCACCCGTTAGGTTTAATATTCTGGAGAACAAATGCCGTCATTGGTAAAAAAATTTACGCGCTATAGCGTATCTGATCTCTATTGCTCTTACCCAGCAATTTTAAAAATATAAATAGATGAACATGAACTAGAAACAGCGTATCCACCCTCTTTAAAGGGATGATATGTGGGGTTTAACGTCCCAAAACCACTATATGATTATGAGAGACGCCGTAGTGGAGGGCTCCGGAAATTTAGACCACCTGGGGTTCTTTAACGTGCACCCAAATCTGAGCACACGGGCCTACAACATTTCCGCCTCCATCGGAAATGCAGCCGCCGCAGCCGGGATTCGAACCCGCGCCCTGCGGGTCAGCAGCCGAGTACCTTATCCACTAGACCACCGCGGCGGGGCCTCTTTAAAGGGACAGGCAAACGTATCTATTGATGAATGTACTGAAGGAAAAAAAAGCTTCGTCCACAGCGATTATGATTACTGGCTAAAATGATGAAGAATAAATTGTGAAATGATTAAAAAATCCAATTGACCATTCATAAACTGTGATCTGCCTCGCATTTTTCTTCTTGACTTACTGCGGTGCGGCTAGCATACTTACTAGCCGCGCCACGGTTGGTTACTAAAGGCGCGTGAACTACCAACGTGACATACTATATACTCTCAACAGGAGAGTGGCAAAAACAGCACTTTTTATTTAAAAAAAAGCGACCTTTTTTGCGCTGTTTTTGTAAAGTGTAGTCAAAATTGACGTGAGAAAAATTAATAGTGCGAATGGTCACTCGTTACGAAACAACAATATTGTTTAAGAGCTCCGTGAACTTTCAGTATCGCATCCCATCCGCACACTCGGACAGATAGTTCTGCAGAACACTTTATGACTGAACACTTCATGCTTGCCTTGCACTGAAGTTCAATGTTGCCATTGGGTGGAATTGAAAAAGAGCGAGAACTCAAACCAAATGTAGCCAAAGTAGCCATTTCATTTATTATCATTGCCAAATTTGTAGCCAAATGGAACAGGAGTCGTATTATGAGCAGAGTCTTTACTGTTAATTAAATAATGAAACCATTTTCAATAAGTAATACCAGTTATTTAGGAGCAGCCAGTAAATATATAGCTATGGCGCCAACTCTACTAAATGGGTTGGAAAGTAGTCAATTTGGCGCAAGGTAGCCACGAAAGGCAACCCTGCACAAAACTTTTTTTGCTCCACCTTGCAAGGCAGGTTACTGATCATGCTCAGGACAGGATAAAGAGACTACAGCGTATCAAGACATTTAGAAATGCTCGCGAAGCAGGAATAATAAACGTTATTGAAAACAAAAAAGCAACAAAATAGACCAGATGAACGACCACTTTCTGGTCTTCATATTCGTGTTTGTGGCTCCTTCATCCTAGTGTGGTTTCGAGCGCCCGGTTTTGCCCTCACCAACTTTCGCGACTCTTTCTCATGCAAATCATGCTTGCTAGATTTAACGTAGTTTATGGGAGTGATGTATTCCACCTGAACACTGCGAAATAACAAGTGTAGCCGTGTTTGGGCGTCTGAAGCACCCATGCAGCCTCCGCACTGCTTTCTCCCTACCTGTGAGAGGCTGAAATGAAGAGCACGAAGCTAATAATGAAGCATCACTACTCGAATGACCTTCACTAATTCACAGGACCCATACACTTTTACTATTGGCCTAATTTACCAGTAAACTAGTGAAGTTGCCTGGAAAATGAATGGTAGTAATTCGCAAGATAAGTTGACATGCGAATTAACAAATGCAGTTAAAATGATAGGTTTACTACTTTTTTTTTCACACGGTTACTCCTAAATTTGTTCTTGCTGTTTTGATTCTCTCTCTGTCTCTCTATCTCGCCGTGTTTTAATATCGATATCATGGTGTAAAAGTAGAAGGCTGTAACGTAGCGTATACTTGCCTATGTTTTCCTTCATAAATAAAACAGAGCGTGTTCACATTGAACGAACCTACACGTCTGTCTCAATCTCGAGAGAATTGTTCCCAAAGGGTGTTACAAAGTACCTGGAACTTGTATTATTTGTCACAGTTTATCGGACGGAATGGCGTTGGGCATGAAAGTAATAACTGAAACAACAATTTTTTTTACTCACAGTTTGATGGCGCATATCTTCCATCCGCATCATCCTCAGCTTTCATTCAAAATGAATACGCCATGAAACCTCGGCGGGTAAAATCGTAAGTTGCAACACAGCCGACCCCTCCATAAGGAAATCGGCGAGGGAGCAATTTTTTCTCGATCTCGTGCGAGTTTTGTTGTCATGAAAATAGAAAAATACGCATAGAGATTGCTTCGCATAACAAAATTTGACTTAAATAAAGAATATTGTATCGCTCCTTCGGGGTACTTTGCAATATAAGCCTTTTTTTCTGCTAGCCGCAGCATCAGCGATGACCCTAAATTTTTTCTGAAGTGTCAAAACTTACGCATTTGAGGAGAAAGCGGCATCTTTCCAAAAAGACAAACATCATTGCAGTTTGCACGTAAGCAAAGCGTGGGTGATCTCGGCGTGTACACAGAGATGCGTGTCAGCAAGTAGATAGACAGCCTACAGAACGTATGGTGGCATGACGTCTATTTTGTGGGTGATGTCACTTAAAAAGTCATGTGCCCACGTAGTTGCCTACAAAGGTGGAGGCAGAAATGTGTTCTCAACAAAAAAAAAATCTCGCTATGATTATGATCTGGCCAAATGTAAACAGAAATGGTTGAAAAGATACTTGCTGGCGGAAACGGTTGTGCCTCAATCGTGCTACAGTTTTTTAACTACTGGGTTCCCTACTAGCTAATGGGGTGAAGGAAAGATGTGGTAGTTCACTACCAAAAATTGCCCGCAGCTTCCCTCGGGGGAACACTGAGGAGGATGCGGACCATATAATTGGTTAACGGGGTGTTAAAGTGCGACTTACTTGGGTCGATGGCTAAATTGGTTAACGTGGTTGTGAAATGGGGTGTTAAATTGCGACTTACTTGGGTCGATGGCTAAATTGGTTAACGTGGTTGTAGGAGGGGGTGTTAAATGAGTGAACACGTACACACGTATGCGAAAGGGCGGCGCTGGTCGAAGGGACGTCGATCATTGTGTTTGTGGATTCGTTGGAATTCATTTCACCGCGACCTTGGACGTCGACGCGCCGTACAAACCAACCGACGAGCGGCAACTGAGCGAGCGAGCGCCGACCTTGAGTATATATACAGCACGACGGCGCATGCATTGTCAGCTGTTGAATGTTCTCGAAGCGCGACGCCACATGCGCGTCCACTGGAGAATCAGGAGAATTGTAGATGTCGAACGCGGTGTGTAGAGGAGGAAGGGTGCACAGATGGTGGAGGAGTGAAGCGCGCGCGGTGTGTAGAGGAGGAAGGGATGCACAGATGGTGGAAGAGTGGGCGACGGCGCGACGGCGCATGCGCGCGCGTCAGCTGTCGAATGTTCGAGAAGCGGTGCGGACGGCGCGGACGGCGCGGACGGCGCACTACAAGGCGCGAGTATAAGATGCTCCGCATCTAAAACTGCTTGTTGCGGGTGTGATTTTTAAAAAAATATCTTCGCTATTGAGCGGGGCAAAATCACTGAAATCCGAGGACGTCCACCGAAAATGCTAGATTTTTTTCGTTGTCACAAGAATTTTATTCTTGATGGTTTTTGTTGTGAGGGGTTGAACTGTATCTGCCACAACAAACTAATTCAAAGCTAACTATAGTAAATAAAATTTAAATCGTTGATGACTAGATATCTCAGTTTTACGTGCAGATAGTTCAGTTTACTTCAGCCCTTAAAAAAACCATACCATCCCCCCCCCCCCCCCTGTGGGCATATGGAGGAGGGGGTTTCAGAAAGGGCAGAGTTTTGTTGAGATGAAGAATAAGCAGTAAACGTTTTTGTATTATCGAAGGTGATCTATAGCACGATTTTGAAAACAAGGTTATGGAGCAACGGTGACTATGGCTTGTGGCAGGTCGTTCCGTTATTTAGCTGCTGGAAAAAAGAATGACACAGAAAAAGTAATAGTGAGCAATGATGGGCGGGTTACCGGTAACATGAAGCAGATTACTGGTAGGCTGAGATATACGCGCCGCTTCTGCTATGTAAGGGGACTGACTCAATTAAAAATGAAATAGTTTATGGTAATGGTAGAGCCCTGCACTGCATTGACAAAAAGAAAGGGTAGTAGTCTGGATTTCCCTTCTCAGAATGAAAGGCTCACTTAAGAACAGTGAGTGAATGAATCCTGTTGCAAAATTTTGGACTGCTTCTAATACACATATTAAACACGCTTGATGTTGGCTCCATAGGTCAGAAGAATATTCTAACTAGTGCACGTTGATTGTAACAACCGAGCTCAATAATTGCAATTATGTTATCTGTCGCAGCCAAGTTTCAGAACCTACGTACTGTCTAATAAAGAAACCTATATACACGCGTTAGCGAAAAAAAAAAACACTTCGAGCTTGTCAAAATGTGTAGGTGAACTGCGGTCCAGGGCATCCATGGCTAATTCGATCGTTCGAAGATGCATAGGTTGCGAGAGACAGTGCTCTCTACCATCTTGTTCGAGGCGTGGTAGAGTCACATCTAATATCACAGTTGCTATGGATAACTGCGGCCCACTTTTCTCGCGCAGGCACACAATGCATCTAAGTATTTAGCCCGTGGAGCTTCTGCGTGCGAGACAGTTGTCGCGATGCATGTAAACTTTCGTAAAGTATATAAGTGAGGTATACCTTCCTCTTGGAAGCGGCCATCCGTTGGTCGCGGGCGTCCTGTGCTTCACCGGGCGTCTCCTTTCCCCAGACGACGACCGCGATACGTGTGTACGTGAAGATGAGTACAAGCAGTGGGAAGAAGTACTGAAGGATCATGAGTGCCATGCTGTAGTAGGCGGTCTGCTCGGGCCGCCCCCATTGCTCGAGGCAGTAGTAGGTGCGGTTGGCGCACGGGTGCGGCACCAGCTGCGTCACGAGCGCCGTGGGCAGCGGCGTCACCAGCGCCACCAGCCAGACGAGAGCGATGATGAGCTTGGAGCGCAGCTTGCTCATGCGCGGCCGCAGCGGGTACACGATGGCTGTGTACCGGTCTACCGAGATGGCGATCAGCGTGTAGGCTGAGATGAAAACGGTCACGCATTGCGCGTACGTAACCAATACGCACATGACGCCGCCGAAGGGCCAATATCCCAGCAGGAGGTTGGACACGAACGTGAACGGAATGCAGAGACAGGCCATCAGAATGTCACCGATGGCCAGATTCATAATGAACATGTTGGTGACAGTGCGCATGCGCTGGTAGGCGATTACGATGTAGCAGACGATGCCGTTTCTGCCAATGGCAGCCACCGATACGGCAATATACATGAGGTACATCAGCGCCTGGATGCCTTCGGGCACCTGAGGCGACACATCGCAGCTGGCCGCCGCATCTAACCCGTTGCCGCCACTCCAGTTACTCGCGGCTGATGGCGACGCCTCCTCCCCGCTGGACAATGACAGCTCGCTCTCGGTCTCCATGTGTTGTGCCTGCGAGAAAACAATGGTGGCACGTAAAATCACGAATGGGCTGCTCAGCGTAAGTTGGGCCAGTGGCAAAGTCTTTAAAAAAACTATTTCAGGGGTTTTACGAGCAAGAAAGAAATATAGAGAGGAGGTTAACCAGTTCAAAGTATCCAATATGCTACTATACACTATGGAAATCTGAGTTGGTTCAAAGTTTGATGGTGTAGACTTTGGAGTGGGGCAGTGTTTACTCTGAGTAACAGTTAATATTCCAACTTATAGAGGCATACATTTATGCAACCATTTTCAGCCTACAATAACCGTCACCAATGTGCAGACTCAAAAAGAAAAGCCTATCTTTATTTACGCAAATAAAAAATATTTACAATAAATGAAAACTGATGTTTTCGAAACACGGTTATCAAAATTATTTAAGCTGAAATGGTTGACATGCTAAAAAAACATCCCTTAGTATATCTCGTGGCAAAACGAATTGTAGCAGGCACTCCGGAAATTTAGACCATCTGGTGTGCTACTCGTGCACTGATATCGTACTGTATATGAGCTTTAGGTAGCATCGGAATGCCACTGCCGTGGCTGGGATTGAACCCGCAACCTTCGAGTCAGCAGCCGTGCACTATAACCGCTATAGACTACAGTGGTGGACGCATTGACCAGCTACGTCGTAATGGTGTTGCAAAACTACCAATCGCCCTTTCTAGAAAAGAATGAGTCTATCTACGTACACATAGGTGTTTCTCACAGTTTGCACATTTGTGATGATGCTTCCGAGTGGTGTTCCCTACAAACGCAGTTCTTTGTCACAAAATAAACACAGAAATGTCGGCGCCTGTGTGTCTAGCCACTTTGAGCCTACGTCATTTATTACGTTCTACACTCCATCGTGAAAGTTTACGACGGAAACAAAGATAGAAAAAGCGCATAACAATTTTGTGTGAGTCACTCTCATGTGATATGCAAGATCGATATAAGCCTGCTGCCGCTTGTTCAAGTCCGTGAAAAGCAATCAAGTAAGAATTGTTGTTTTAGAAAAGGAGGAGGAAGAGGAAATTAGTGGTAGACAGGGAGCTGAACCAGACAAAACTGTTACAGGCACTGTGCAGTCCCAAAACGTTTATACGTTAGAATGGTTAATAGTAGCACATACATAAGCCACTGTTCATGTAAGTATTAGAGTACTCAGCTGCCAACCATTTCTTAAAAGGACGTTCAAGAACACCGGCTATGCTCAAGAGCCGGGATTCAATCCCACGACCTGCGGGTCAGCAGCCGAGTACCTTAGCCACTAGACCACTGCGGCAGGGCCTCGTCGTTGTGAAATGGCTAGATCGCTAGTTTGAAATGTATAGGTCGCTAGTTTCAACTAAAACATACCACCATGTTCGCTTTTGCAGAGAAGCTGTTCACATGAAATAAAAAAAAAGACAAAATAGAAGCACTGTAAAATCCACGTGTGTGTTTGGTGCCTGCCTCTGTGCCAGAACTTCATTCAAGACCATTGCAAGGCGCCTCATGAAATGTAGATGTGGGGCATTCAATGCAACAAGCCTGAAAGTGGTCTCCGAAAAGCTTGGCACGTTTCATAAATGGTCGCAAGACTGTTTCCATCTTTCATGAGACGAAAACTTGAATGAAGATTTTTTAAAAAAGCGGGGTTACTCTGGCCGCTTTGTATTCGTCGCGCGCCACGCCGTGAAAGACGTTGTACGCAGCGCTAACAAAAGCCACTGACGCGTGGTTGGAAAACAAAACTGGTTGAATAAATGTCTTCCAGTGAGTCAGCGCCTCTCCTCCCAAACCGCCAACCGAAGAGTTTGAACCCCGACAGGCCTGAATAAAAAAGCTAAATATTTACTCAAAAAACAACAACACCCAGTTCGATCAATTGACCACTGCCTCTCCTTGCACCCCTGGAGCAAAGTGCGTGCCCTAATTTATGCAACACTCTAAGTCAAAACGGAGCAACAGGGGTATAGGGGTTGCTCCTTTCAGGGAGCAATTGCATTGCCACTCCCATTACTCTCCTAATATGAGTAACTGCAGAGGGAGGAACCGTTGCTCTCCTTTCAGTTCCTCCTTCGGGGGATGAACAGTTACTCCCTCCAGTTCCTCCCTGCAGACCAACAGTTACTCCCACCAGTTGCTCCCTGCCGACCAACCATTACTCCCACCAGTTGCTCTTCTAAGAGCAACAGTTACTCTTTACCGTTCCTCTCACGTGTTCGCAGTTACTCTCTGAAAACCAACTGCACATGCTTCCAGTTACTCCTTGGGGAAATGAGTATTTATCTCGAGTATGCTTGTCACACGCTTAACACATGGCGAGAGCTCCTTGGAAGAGCACTGCTTGGGTGCTTCTAACACAAAAAGTGGACAATATTGAAAGGAAAATAAATGCTTTATTGTTCTTTTTATGAGGCGACGTGTGACCACACGTAAAAGTAGACTTCGCCACACCACAGCCAGCACTAAACAAACACCATAATACATCAAAGGTTTCTGCGTCATCCGTGGAAAAACAATCTTGAATTTCTAGCATAGGGCAGTCTGTGTCATCATTGGTGAGAGAAGGGCAACTTCTCCAATTCTGAAGAACTCAAGTTTCGCAGCTGGTGTTTCCATCAGGCTAGCGCAGCAGAACGTCACCGCAGGCATATGTGAAGCATCTCATTGCTGCAAGAAAAAAAATAGAAGTGTGAGGTTAAACATGCCAGAATCAATTCATAACAATGAGTCACACACACTGCAGCAGCGCTTACATTCTAGGATGTCTACTGCAAAACGAAATGTGAAAAAAAAGGAAGGTTCGGTCAAACGTTACTTGGCAAGCCATATAAATGCTGATGTGGTAGACGCTCTTCACATGATGTCTCAGACAGCAGTATTCTGGAAGAAAATGTGCAGCACCTCAACAAGGCACATTTTTAGCAGTTAAAGATACCCTTAGGTTCAGTTAACTTGTTTCCTATACACAGCTGAGTGACATTTCTATGAGCCCATTCACCAATGGGCATTCTAAATGAGGTCATGTGTGTGGCAAATAACACGTACTGTCCGCTCATGTTAAAATACTTATTTAGCTCGTGCACATAGTTGCTCTCGATTCTACTGTTCTATCATACGCTGCTGCGTCTTGAATTGTGCAATACCTGTAGGCACAAGCCAAGCATGCAAAGCCTGCTTGAAAGCAACCATTTGCAGAGGCTACATGATAATCTTCAGTATATTTCTTTGTACCTGACGCAAACGGCTGGACAAAACTATAGACAAATAAATGTAGACCGTGCTACCTTCAAAAAATGCTTTAAATTTAGAAAACTAAGGTGCATATTTGTTCCCTCGGATAGCTTGCCAATACATATATATTTGAGAGCAACAAGATGTGAAGCTTTTATTAGTTCAACGTCTTGTTGGTTCACAGCCAAACAGGTTACTGCTTGTTAGACAAATTGGAATAAGCACACCATGGTTTCAAAAAAAAAAGCATTATTAGAAGTTAGCTCCCGGTGTGAATGTCTGCCTATTTATTTTGTACTGCCTTCTACATGTGCCACAAAGACATTTGTTGAGGATGTGCTACCAGTCAAGCCAAGATCGCATACTTGGTCAATGTGATGGAAATACAAACATTAGAAACACTGCCACCTCTAGTAAGAGCATAACACTTCAGTATCTTGGACTAGCAAAGAGGTGCACAAGAAAGTTAAGCCCACTCTTGCGGAACTTTGAATGCGAATATTTCAGAGTGGGGGAGGTCAACATGCTGTGGCACTTTTAAACCCACGAAACATCTGCAGAAAACAGGGTAAAGGCAAGTCAAGAAACGCTGTTATGAAGGCCTTCGCATGGACAGCTTTGTGAATCTAGGCCCAAGTGTTATGCTTTGTGCAAGCCAAAATCCATGTAAATAGGGAAAGCATACTTTTAGGAGTACCAGCGTAAACAAATCTTGGCAGTTGGCTTTTTAGTACAAACAGCAATCCCTGCAATGAAACATAAACATTTTATCTTAACGGTAACAGTGAGAGCACACACACGGGCCAGCGGAGCCATGTCGAATTGTCAGTGCCAGTGTAACCATGTGGCATAATGAACTATTCTCTGGCCAACACATGCACAGTTTGCCCCTAAAAAGCGATGCTTTCATATACGTAGTACAAAAAGTCTGCACTTACCAAAATTCACTTGCTTTCTGTACTTTAGCATCGTTGGGAGCATCTTTATCTACAGTATAACCAAATTTGTGTCATATCCCTGAAAAAAAAAGTAAAAGACATGCATCAAATATTGTTTCATTTGGTAGCAGTGAAATCAGGTTAAGAACCGCCAAGTGGGAATCAGCCTAATTATGTGCATGCGGCAAATCCCAAACGGCGTTATTGAGGTTGTCGAAATTTTCGTCGATTGGTATTAACGTCGATATGTCACTTCAACGGCATGCCAAGTTTTCACAGCGCATAAAGATTTCATGATGCAGAATAATGACAGCGCTAACGAGAACATACAGCATTTATGATTGTCTTTTACAATATTCAGTTTTGCTAAGGTTTTGCATCACTAAAGAAATTTGAAAGATTGGGGTCATTCCTCCTCCAATTGTTCTGTCAATATGTAAACTGGTCGCTTGATGGTGCGCTTATAAAATAGTACGTTCAGCGCAGAGGTGAAGCAAGTGACGCAGTGATGTAGGCAGATTTTTTTTTTTTAGGCGTGCGGGGAAGGGGGGGGGGGGGGTCCGCTTATCTGAATAGGCCGGGCAAGCGAATATGGTCGTCAATTTGGGCTGCCTACGCCCGGCCTAAAAAAATTCTATGCGCAACCGCCTGGCTATGCCAGTGAAGTGATGCGACAATGATTTGTTCACTTACTGATTTACATACACTTTACATCTCTAAAAAATGCGGCCCAAAGCCCCAACACTCAGCCGTTAACAATACATAAAGCCAATGGTAGAAAAGTGCCAGTATGAATGCAGCTACAACCCCGCCCCAATGTTT